TGAGACTTAGTCTCAAAAATTGGCTGGGCGTTATGGCAGGTACTTGTAGTCCCAGCTACTTGGGAGGCTGAGTCAAGAGAATCACTTGAGCCCAAGAGTCTCTGGTTGCTGTGAGCTATGACGCTACAGCACTCTACCAAGGGGGTGACAAAGTGAGATTCTGTCTCAAAATAAATAAATAAATAAAAATAAAAGAGGGGATAGATCATGCAATAATTTTAAGTTTTGATAAATTCAAAAGCAAAAAGTTTTACAGAACAGAAATGCTCATTTTATTCAAGTTGAAAGAGCTGGGAGTTCAGGGTAACTGTTAAGTAAGAAGGAGCACTTTTCCTCTGTAGAGGAGCACGGTCTTGCTCTCTTCATATTCACCACGGTCCTTCCTATATTTGGAATCTTTGGTCCGGCTCACTTTAAGGAAATTGGGTTCTGTTTGATTGAATAAAAACATTCGGTTTAATTGACTACAATTTCAGACCTAGTATTACAAATTTTTACTCTTGGTAAATAATGCTCAATGTGCTATCAAGAAAAGCTAGAACACCTTTTCATACTGACATTATTATATGAAAGTGATAACCAAGTAATTTTTAGCAACTAATCTTTTACTATATATTCTAGCAGTTGAACAATAGACTCATGATTTGTGTATTTTTCTGAATATAGGTTATAGTTCAGAAAGAGTTTAAAAATATATTCGAGGCTAGGTGCAGCAACTCACACCTGTAATCCTAGCACTTTGGGAGGCTGAGGCAGGAGGAGCACTTGAGGCCAGGGGTTAAAAAAAAAAAGCCCGAGCAAGAGCAAGACTCTGTCTCTACAAAAAAAAAAGAAGGGAGGGAGGGAAGAGAGGGAAGAAGGAAGAAAGGAAGGAACGAAAGGAGGGAGAGAGGGAGGAAGGTTTTAGTTGGACGTGGTGGAATACACCTATAGTCTCATCTACTTGGGAGTCTGAGACAGGAGGATCACTGGAGCCCAGGAGTTTGAGGTTGCAGTGAGCTATGATCATGCCACTGCTGTCTAGCCCAGGCTACAGAGCAAGATCCTGTTCTCCCTGCCCCCCAAAAGTGTATTTCAGTGCAGGCTTAGTATGATATATAGCATAACCAGCAAGGTAATGTTTCTTCTCTACAAAAATTAAGATATTTTTGGTATGCTGTATATTATTAATGTGGAAAAAAACACAGACACCCACCCACACACACCCACACACATACATACATACATACATGCATATGTATCTCTAAAACACAAAAATTTCCTATTCTAAGTGAGCCAGAAGCCTGGAAGAAGCAGGTAGCAGTCTGTAATCTTGGTCTATGTCAATAGATCAGCATGGATTGATTTATACTGCCAGTGTTCTCACTTTTAATGTTCTAAGACAGTTCACCAAAGCACTGCTCATTGCTGTATCATCTTGCACCCAGGCTGTTCAGGACTGTGGTCCATTCAAAATGTCCCACAACAGGACTCCCATCGTTCCTTGCGGTGCTATTGCCAACAGCATATTCAATGGTAGGTGACTTTTCCTATCTTCCTTTCATAAGTGTATAACAAGATAAATGTCCAGAAGATAGCCTCTGAAGCTGAGTGGCAAGGGTTTTTTTGTTTTGTTTTGTTTTTTAATCTATAAACATTATCCTGGGTAAGTCAAAGCACAGACTTATGGTATTTTATTTGCAAATAAGTTCTCCCTTGCCAGAAATCTAAAGGACTAGTCGGGGAACATGAGTTAAATGGAGCTTACGAGTATTTTTCAATAATTGCCTCAAGCTTGGCAAGAAAAAGAATCACGTCTTGTGATTCCAGCATCTACAGCATGTAGGCGTGTTGAGAGTCTGCAAAAACTCTGATTTGTTTTTCAGCTGTGTCTGGTTCTGCATTTCAAAAGATGGCAAAACTGCTAGCTTGCATCTTTAACACAATTTTTAATTTCCTTGCAGACACCATAGTTCTGTCATACATCCCTAATTCGCAAATACACATCAAAGTCCCACTGCTGAGGACCGGACTTACATGGTGGACAGATAAGTATGTCAAATTTCAGAATCCAGTCTCCAATAATCTTGCTGATTACTTTAAAGGTAAGATCCACACAGTAGTTCAATATTCTTATCTCTTCATAAAAAAAACTTTGTTTTTATGTGTAGGGAGATGTTGATGAGGCCTCCTTCTTTAGTTCTTTGTTGACTCCTTTTTGCTCTAATTTCCCACCCATGAGCATCTATCTCCATTGCATCTCCTATCAAAAACATGAAATGATTGGTACCCCAGTTCCTCGCAGTTTACCATTAGGAAAAAGACAGTGCTTTAAGAAAATTGTTGGCCAGGCACAGAGGCTCACACCTGTAATTCTAGCACTCTGGGAGGACAAGGTGGGTGGATTACTTGAGCTGAGGAGTTTGAGACCAGCCTGAGCAAGAGTGAGACCCCATCTCTACAAAAAATAGAAAAACTTGCCAGGCGTAGTGGTGCCTGCCTGTAGTCCTAGCTACTCAGGAGGCTGAGGCAAGAGGATTACTCAAGGAGTGTTTGAGGATGCTCTGAGCTA